GCATGAGTTAGGAACAATATTTTTTCTACAAGCGTATTGGAAATTGATTGAATCGTTCAATTAATTATTCAAGCAAATAGGAACAACTAACAAGAGATATATATTCTCTATTTATTAATTATTAGTAATAGCTATTGTGAACTTACAGTTTGACGCATTATGTTGGTTCATTGCGGAAGCCAGCAGGCCCATTAGGAGTTTGGTCTTTAGGTTCCAGACACTTCTATGAAATGAGCCAAAAATACCTATTCTTCATTCGGTTTTTTCATTTCTTTATTGTTGCAACATTCAATAAAACGCGTGTATAGCTTCTCATACCTTTCTTAAGACCTCGTTGGTGATAACGCATCTGTATCAAATCCCTATAGCTAGAAGTTTTTGATCACATTGTGGCATATCCACTGAATAGAAAATGACAGTAACGCTGTGTCTGTCACTTCGACAATTTCAAACTTATTTGAGGTTTGATTGGCATGACAAATTGACGTTTCCCGTCAGATCAATCCAAATCTATAGGGGGATTTTTATAATAATCAATTTTTATTTCTCAATATTTCTTGATTTTTACAATAAATTATGCAATTTGATGGATGATTCTGAACATACATACTTAATACTGCAACAAAAAAACTTAAACTTTTATATTCCATCACCAACTACTTATATTACTAGCGATTTTATCATATCTTTGTTTTCCCGCACTAGTGCGGGAAAAAATTTCCCGCACTAGTGTGGGAAAATTTTCCCGCAGTGTTGCGGGAAAATGACACTTTCCAAACTAAATTGCGTGCGGGTATAGGGTGAATCACGCACGCTTGTAGAAAAAAGAATTTAAAGATCTCGGAAGTAAACCAGACTAGGTTCCCATTGGTGCCTCTTCCTTTCCTGAAGCCAGATTGGGGAGGGTGAAACCAATTTTCTTTTTTCCAGATGGTATTCCAATCTATTTTTCGACAAGGACTCTAATATTTTACTGAAGCACGATGATTGGGCAATGAGTCTATAGTTTGATATAACCTTCAGGTCTTTTCCTTGTTTCGGTATTGGACATATTATTTGTGACTCCTATTCAGCCGGAATCTCTGACTTCCACTGTAATATGTTGTTGTACATTTTTTGTAATGCGAGGAACGATTTTTCGGACAAGTGCGTTATTTGTGGAAAGATGATGTTATCTGGGCTGGGTGCCGAATCTTCCTTTTTTGTTTCTCAATTACTGAGTTTATTTCTGCTATTGAAAATGTACTGCTTGTTGCAGGATTTTAATAGTTGAATTCCGAACTTTGGGAAGATCTAAACAACATTACAACAAATCTTGATAATAAACAATTCATTACAGTTTTCATATACTTACAGAAAGCATTTGACGTAGTTGATCATGGAATTTTATTGAACAAGTTAGAGCTATTGGGAATTAGAGCCTAGAGGCAAAATGTAAGAAATCCTGAAATCATACCCAACTCATAGAGAACAAATGTATCAATAGATGAAGCAGATGGTGAAATTATCAATATAAATTGTGGAGTTCCACAAGGCTCGGTCCTAGGCCCGCTACTATATGCTCTTCAAGTTTTAAGTCTTCAAATTGCGAATCTAAATGCACGCTGCTTCACATTTGCTGATGACACCATTCTAGTCTACACTGAAAAACATGTATCACTACTAGAGGAAAAATTGAATAACGATCTTGAAAGATTGATAATCAATCTAAAGAAGACACAGTACATGTTATTAAAAAACAAAAACAAAGAATCGTTTGAATTCAATATAAAAATCAGTAATACTTTTGATAGAGAGAGTACAGCATACAAAATACCTGGGATAGGTGCTTGATGATAAATTGAACTGGCAAAAACATACAGAACACATAACAACCAAACTTGTTTCCATGATAGGAGCTCTGTACCGAGTCAGGACTACCTCAACGACAAAAACAGAATCATGCTCTATAATGCTTACTTCTTGTCAATATTCCGATACTTAATTACCACCTATGGCACCTGCTACTAAACATAGTGTAAAGCAAATGGCGCGAGTATGAAGTGAACAAACGTCCTTCATACTCGCGACTTGATACAAAAAAGAAGCATCTTAAGAAAAATGTTTATTTGGGGGTTTAAAAACCAAAATTCAAAAAAAATTTTTAAAAATTATTTGGGGCCTAAAACCCTCACGAACTATGTCATCAATTTTATAGTTTCCTTTCTCCTCCTACCTAGCAAGCCTGATGATGACTCCTAGGAGTCGAAACATGTAGCACATATGATTTTATTGAAATTTACTTGGAGCGAGACTTTGAGTTTGTTCTCTTAATTATCTCATCACCTCCAATTTGCGTAATTGTTATTTATTAATATTTTTTTGTCATATAAATACTGATTTTAATTATATTATATTCTTATTTTATATTGAATCATATTGTATATCACTTGATTACTATAGTATATCACATGAGGGATGAATAAAAAAATGTTGAAGTGATTTGAGTTGATAATAGTTGATTAATAGTTGATGAAACCTGCTGTTTTGACTAATAGTTTGGCTTAGATGTGGCTTATAATTAGTCAGTAAAACAACTATGCTTCTGACTGACTTTTACTATATTTTTTATTATATTGACAACTACTTATCAAAATCAAATAACTATACATGGTGATAGTTATATACAGAGTGCAACTATATATTTTTCAACATTTCTCCCCTGCCTATGATTCTTAAATCATTCTATGTCTTCCTCATTTCTGTCTATCTTCAATCTACATAATTTAGCAACAGGTCTCTTGTAAATGACATTGCTGAATTTAACATCGACGACTCTCGTCCTTCCGTCTCTCCAAGGGTACAACTTCCTTACAATTTCCAATACCTCAATCAATTTTACATTTTCGTCGTACCATTTTGTTCCCTTCGTTAAATCCGACAAATACTACTGAACCCATCGCTTCCAAAACATATTTGTAAGTGCTCGGTCTACTATTCATTGTCTCCGCAATGATACATCTTTGTCCTCAAATATTCCTGATGATTTCAATCTATTTTCAGTTCCTATCAAGAAGTGATTTGGGGTTAGACACTCCATATCTTTTGCATCTAAGGAAACGTGGGTTAATGGCCTTGAATTAACAATATTTTCTACATCAACTAAGAAAGTATACAAAACTTCTTCTCTAAGAGCTCTTTCTTTCAATACGGCATACAATGATGACTTGATGGATCGTACCAAACGTTCCCAGCACCCTCCCATGTGAGGTGTAGCCGGTGGAATAAAATGTCATGTTATTTTTCTATTCGTCAGATCTTCATCTACTTTTGTTTCATCTAATTCGAAAAGTGGGTTTTTCAGTTCTTCTTCAGCTGCCCGAAGATTGAGTCGAAACTAGTCACAATACATTTTGTGTATTATAATTTTTGTGGTCGACTGACTTGGCGTTATTCTGTTTTTTCTTTGAAAAAAATTTGGACCACTGAGAAGGATGGATGGTTTCCACGAAATATCATTTTAATTAAAAATACTTGCCGCCACATTTAGATAGGCAAACCGGTTGAAGTATATCCTCCTATTCATGAATATATGTTATAATTAGATTTTCATCAAATACTTGATGAACGTAGTAATCATGCAGTCCGATCTTAGACTATTGTTTCATGATTTCAGTGGACATCAGCTATTTTTCAATACAGATGAAAGACAGCAAAGTTAGTAATCAAGTGAACCATTGAATATTACTGACAACAATTGCACGATTCAGGATAATCTAGATTCTAGAGGCTATATTTTTTTAGGAATAAAGATGGATCTAACTCTTATATGGAAACCGCATTGTGAAACATTGATATGCATACTGAATTCAATAAACTTTTTAATTTCAGAATGTTAAGTTTGTTCTAACTAGAGAATAATTCATAAATTGATATAATGCACCAGCATTTGCCATTTGCTTTTGGGGGTAACTCTATTTTCACAATCTTGCTAGACAATTTTTGTGAGTTTCATAATACTGACGCTGACTTCATTTGTATATTTTGGAAATATGTCTATATATTATAGAACAGGAGTGGCGATCCTTTATCTATCAACGTGACATTTTTTCTGAAGAAATGTTCAATGAGGTCATAGACGTGCCGTCAAATGATTTTGACTCAGTGATTATCGGAGAATAATAATTTACTGTCATAAAAAATGCATTTCTTTCTTTCTATTATTATTGATGTTACAGTTATAATTGTAATTGAGAATCAAGTAACATCAGTGTGACTTCTGCAGTTTAGATGACAAAAAAATAATATTAGGGTACCTATATCGAAGAATAAGGAATATATCAGGGTTTTAAGATATTAATTTCAGCAGTATACATGCTGAACTGGAGTCATATCTGTCAAACGGTTTCTAAGCAAGTCTTCAATGTTAATCATCTCTGAAAATAATGACTCGCAGGCATATGTAGATAAGAATATGTTTGAAGTAGCACTATCCAGCTTCTCGAAACAGTTAAATGTGTCTGGAACCCAAGTCCATATTTCCAAAATTATGTTATTGGTGTTTCACTAGTTTAGCTTTTTTCAATGGCACTCGTGCCATAGGTTCGCCATCCCTGTTATAGAATATAAAATAGTGTGACCAAGATAAGGTTGCACAGCATGCGGAAGGAGATACGAATTCGGTCAAATGGGAAAAAAGTTGCGCATTCAGAGTCATACCAACGCATTTCTATTGAATTCTCTCGATTTCTCTATTTCCTATTTGAAATTCTTGAGAAAATTAGAGAGAAAGAATGTACTCTGAAAGAATTGGTAATATATCATGATGATCCTGTTGTCACCCGGTATAAATAAGAGGGAATTCTGTTTCGATGTCTTTTGTTTGTGAGTGAAACTTGAATTTGAATGGAATTATAGGGAATATATTCAACTAGTAGACCATGATAAAGAATACCGCAAATGGATACAAGAACATCATGGAAATATCATTCAGTCAATTTGAGTTCATTAATTTTTTCCAGAGTACCTTCAAGACCAGCTTCACTCAAAGCAAAGCCAAGATTGAGCAATAGAGAATCTGTTTCCTCATCTTCAGAATTCCTGGCAGTTGCTGATGAACCTTATTATGACATGGTAGCCCCCGAAGAGGAATACCTTGTCGAATCTAATCATTCCAGTATTGAGAACGTTTTTAGTTCTTCTAGCACACTACCTTTGGAGTCTAAAAGGGATTCAACGCAAATTTTACAGGAGCCTCAGTCCCCTGGTACCTCGAATTATGTTAATATTGAATATTTTATCCAGTAAGTATTATCTGTTCCATGGTATTTTGAAATGAAAATATATTTTCTTTCCAGTTCCAATAAGAAAAATGGAAATAGTCATAGTAGTAGTGAGGATGAGCACGAGGATATAACAGAATTAAGACGAAATAATGATAACAGTTCTTATGCTAGTTCTAGTTCATTAGAATCTTCAACACCTGCCCCTAGAAGAAAGTTTAGTCATGTGAGTTGAAGTGATTCATAATAAATATAGTAGGCGAATCATAAGGATCTGTACATACTCTTAACTTGTGAGGCACCTTGGGCATGTGTTGAATAACCATCAAAGTGTCTTCCTCCTCTTGTTCAATAACATTGGGTGATTTATGTATTTTGAAAAATTCGTTGGACATAACTCCAACAGCTACCACAATTTACTACTTCTTATAAATCAACTGATATATTTAAAATTACTAGATGATTCAAGGACTAGCTTTTGGAAATTTTATTAGCAGGTGTCTATATCAAAAAGTAAACCATGTATATGATGATTGTATACGGGAAGTTCACAAGTAGGTAACAAAAATTGGATATTTGAAGTTAGTCTCACACCTTGAAAATTTTAAAACTGATCAATTCCGAATTATGCAGAAAAATTTGAGATGCGTCTGGTTTCAGATATATTAGTTTTTGTGTTGGCGAAAACATTTTCAATTTCATCCTGTAAATCTTTTTTTAATGAAGGTTGAAGGTATCTGGATATCTTATATAGGGTCACTTTTCTCCCATAATTCTAGACTTGAACAGGAGACAGAAACAAAGGATCCTGTAGGAAACAAAGATGTTATGAATTATTTTTTAAATGGAATCCACCTGCCTCTATACATTATCAGTCCATCAAATGTTTGACGATCTGATAGTTATTGGATCATTTCTAAAAATATGATGATGAAAGATTCTGTCAATCAGTTTTACCCGTGTCGAATAGACAATAGGGTTAAATTCAGGAGATCCAGGAGGCCATAGAATATGATTCCTGCGTCTATCCTTTCATAATTAAAACTGAAACCACTCCTCAAAATAAGAGAAAGTGTCGGTAATCTCGGAGCTTTTGGTAATGTTTTTCAATTCATTGAAATTTTTGCATTGTGGAACACCGTTGAAAAGTTGGCGATCTGATTCTATTTTATAGATATTTTCATGGACGATGCTCTTCTGAATTATCAACAATTGTACCTCCCTTGGCAGTCCCCGCGAGATTAACCCGTCGAGTTGAGGCTTCGCACCCCTTCGTGGTCACTTTGGAGACCTGCAGAACATCTCTTTCCAAAAATTCGTTCATCCAACGAACAACGAGGCTCTGGAATACATTGCCTAGGGAGGTGTTCCCCGAGGCATATAACCTCCAGAAATTTAAGAAGAACACCAATTCCAACCTTATTTCCCTTGGTTCTCACGATGTTCTCTGAACATTAAAGGATAACCCTTTTCGTTGGAAGCAGAACATAAAAAAAAACTGAAAAAAATTCATGGAAATTGTGAACTCTAGGTTGATTGTGGAGGTGAAATACTCTTTCCCTAATTTTTTTGGGATTTTCACCCCTCTTTTTTATAAATAAAAACATGAGAAATATTTCAACATATGGGTATTAAGAACAAGTAAGATGATTTGCTCCAAAATGTTATTGAAAATGGCAACGTAAGGCAGAGTGAAATTATATTGAAATCATTGGAAGGGAAGAGATACCTAACAAAAAGAGAAAAATCAAAGAATCTGCATGCATTCTTTTGAACGGAGACAACATCGCTTCCTGTTCAGTCCATAAACATCGATAATAAAAACATCCTGTAACACACTTTTTTCCTTCAAATTTTTGTCACTGAGAAGTTTCAATAGACAAAAACAAAGACAATTTCCATTTTTATATTGAAAACGGGTGCAGAATATTTCCCGAAACGTCCAAAGATAAGTAATATTTTCATATTTCCCATCATCTTTGGGCCAATCATCTGATCTGGCCTTCCTACATTAATGGTGAAATTATACAAATATTTTTCCAAATACATTGACACACTTCCGCTCCATATTTTGAATACAATGATTATTGCTTGATATAGAGACAACTCTTATTGGTAGCCATTCAAGTCTGGGAACTGTTTTTGTTAAATAATTGGCATATTCGTCAAATGTTATTCTGTTCAGAGTCACTGGATGGGTATTAGTAGATGAGAGTTCGGACACAGTATATTCTGCTTTGTCTTTTCAATTTCCCTAGTAGCGACTGATTGTCAGATACGATTTTAGAGGTTAGATTTTCTGTCAAATCAATTGAAGCCGTAGATAGAGAATAGGTCGCGTGCAAGAACTGTCAGATGACCGACCCTGGAGGCAAAACATATTTGTTTACAAGTGATGGAAATAGTTTTCCACAATTATTTTGGCATATGAATCGTATTTTTCCGCTATTCATCAATTCGCTAATGCCATCACATTGTGCTGTTGTAAAATGCACAAAAACTGCAGCGGAAGATGAAGAAATCCGGATGGTACATTATGATTCAAAAGTAAGTACCTACTATAGTCACTCACATAGTTTTCATTTTTGAAATTTGGTTATTTCTCTGATTTCTCATCGGAGTTCCTTCTGCAATAGGATCAGCTAATAGAAATATACCTGAAATTTCTAGAATAATGCAAGAAGATCGGATTCATGCAATCAATCGGTAGGACTGGTCTCAGACCAGTGGTCTGACATGCTGACGATCGTGTGTGTTGTAGACATTTTCAATCTATTAGCAGCATTAGCTTGTATTGCAGAAGTGGCAGAAGGCAGAAGGAATTTTAATAAGGAATGACAACATTTCATAATGCTAACTATGTGAGATTACTATTTACCTGAAAAATCATATTCCCTAGTCTCTTGCTGCATTTTTTGTGCATTGTACAACAGCACAATGCGAAGGCATGCTTGAATTAATGAATAACGCAAGAAACACGATTCGTATGCCAAAATATTGTGAAAAACTATTTCAACCTTTTGATTCCTCTGTAACCAAATAAAAAAGTGAGGTTGTGTTTCAATAATTCACAGAAGAATGAGGTTGTGTTTCAATATTTTGCCTCCAGGGTCGGTCTTCGTGCACGCGACCTATAGAAATAGGGAATAAATACCCACTTGAATTTATAGCAATAAGGCACTTTTCGCAGAACAACAGTTATAAAAATTAAAAAATGCATGTAACAACATTTTAATGACAAAATGGACACATATGGATATATAGCTAGTTCGTTCGGTATTGAAAACGCCATTCAATGATATATCACGTTGCAATTTACTTGATTTCTTCAGTTTCGTTCTCAAATTTCCAATTTCATTACGTAGTTTTGCAATCTCTTCTTTCTCCATGATAGTTTTGCATTTCGTGTGATCATAATAATGGGTTCTCTTTTTAAATAATCTGTTTTGTGAATTGTTCCTCTCCAACGGATCTCATCATTTTCTGTTTGAAAATGGGCCTAAAATATAGTTTCCTTCTAATCTGCTGTTATAAAAAGTGAAATTTGATGTAGGTATGTACCTTGAAAATTTTGCTTGTTCTCAAATTAATTTTCCATCTAGGCCGTGTCATACATCCCATCTATAAGAAAATGGAGTTGATATTTTCATTTTTGAATGAAAAAGCGCAAAACGACTATGGTGCTCTTGTCACAATGCAAGGTGTGTAACTTAATTCATCTAAACATTCAAACACACTAACAGTTGTTCACAGTTCTGTGACTCTTATCTGTCGATCAACTATGAAATCAAGATATTTGATCTTCTTCACCAACTTTCACTCCCAATTAATTCTCATTCCGAATATTTCATATTTATTTTTTCCTTCATTTGTTATGACGATGAATTATAATTTTTCCCCTTTATTTTTCAATTTCTACAACACCATTTGTTGTAATCATTTTACTGGTTGATATTTCGTACCAGAAAGTCTAGCTCTGAAGTGGGGAAATAAATCAGGGTGCCACCAGCAAACACTGTATTGATCTCAAAGACTTGAAATATCCAAAAATACCACCCCTGTCATATGATATTTCCCACAACTTCCTTTCCATCCATCCAATATACATTCAAAACGCTATTTCACAGCTATACTTGTTTGGAAAACCCAACTGAACAGTGTTGATAATTTCGTTTGCTTCTATAAAATATACTAATTGTTCAGGAACTACTTCTTGTATGATTTTTTCAATAGAGCTTAGAATATTGAGTGGTTTCAAATCAGATGCATTAATTTCATATACAGGGTGAGTCAGTTTTTTGTAGCAGGACTTCAACAGCTTTAAGAACGCATATTTTCAAGATGAATACTTCATGTAAACATAATAAATGCCTGGGAGATTCAGAGTCAAAGTTTGAAAGTTTTGAATGTTTTTTAAGTTTTTTCCTACAATTTTCAAGATAATGAATTGAAATTAGGTACTCCTATTACACTTGAAAAATTGAATATTTAGGGCTATTAGGCGTTTTCGATTACATTCAGGGTGATACACTTTTGGGGGTTGTATCCAATTAAAAACCTGTAGAACTTTCTTGCGTGCTACCTCTGCTCTCAATGAGACATTAAATTAGGTCATCTTTCTTATTTGGAGAGTATTTGCTCTATTATATGTTTTTCGAAAACTGTATGGAAATCGAGATACATGCCAAAAATAATGTATTTGTGATAAAACTTCAATTCAGTAAGATGTGTCAGTGAAACGTGGCAAAATTTGAAAAACACAAAAAAATATGAAAATATCACACAGCCTGTATATCGGTATGCGCATGTAGAATATAATAGAATATATTACATCCATGGTATACGAGTTATGGACACGTCGTACAAAGAAACAGGCAAGTTTCAAACATAATAAAATCAATTAAAATTGAAATATCACTAGTTATCTACAAGAGTAATTGATCAATTCAATAAAGTGAGACTCATTCCGACTAGAGTCGATCTAACGGCAGGTCTCTGATATCTGTGGGAAGATAATTGAAAAGAGATATTCCTATGGATTTGCTCCTTTCTGGATTTGCTCTTTTCTGGGTTTGCTCTTTTCTGGATTTGCTCTTTCATAATCTAATCTCCTATTGTTATATGAGATTTTCATCTTCAAATTGTATCTTCTTTGAGCTGTTGAAGTCCTGCAGCAAAAAACTGACTCACCCTGAATAATTATACATTTTGTTTCATTTACATCTTCTATTTCTGTTGACTGATAAATTTGATTTTTTTTTTCAGGAAAGTGATGTTCAAGGAGAAACTGACAAAATGTATAGAAGTATATTGTATAATATTACTGAGAGTGAAAGTAATTATGTAGACTGGTTGAGTTTTTTATTGAAGGTAATGTTAATAACAATATTATGACTTATGTATTTGAGTTTGTTTGGTACATATTCTAAAATGTTGTATAATTTCAGTACATGAAAGCAATACAAGCAACAATAGGTACATCACAGCCAATTGTTAGTGAAACAGAACTGAATACCATTTTTTACAAGATTCCAGAGCTATATAACTTACATGCAAGTTTCTTGGAAGCACTCAAAAAGCATATTCAGAAATGGGATACCAGGATAGGAGAACATTTTAAGAAGATGGTAAAATATAATTTCAATGACATTCTGTTGAGTTTCTCATATCTACATTCTGAAAATGTGTTTAGATTATGTTTCACATGAGGCAAAATCTGCATTACATAAGAAAAATAAAATGTGTATCCACTTTATGACATTCTAAGGTAGGTATTTGACATTAACAGAACAAAAGCCATTTTTCTAAACTAAGCTGTGTTACTTCCCCAAATGCTATGGCATCGACCAAAATGAGAAGGAGAGGCGATAATTGTCTTCTGTTCCGTGGTTTATATATTATTTTCGCACTACTGGGCACATATTTTTCCAATATGAAGGTTATTTTTACCTCTCAAAATCCCCAAGTCGTTGTGGATACTCATTGTTGCAATTTAGGCTATGTTCCGATTCAACTGTCAGTACTGAATTTGCTGATTATTTGTCCCAAAATTGAAAATTTCACGGAAAGTGACAGTTCACGAGAGCAGACATACACTCGATTCTAAATATTTTTGGCTCAGATTTCTGCTCAAACTACTGACCACCAAAAGGTAATGGGTGTCAGCAATCTGTCAATGATGAAAAGAACATATTTTTAGGGCATAAAAATATTATAGTTGGCTACATTATCACGATTAATGAATGATAATGAAAGAAAATAATTGGAATCAAGACATTCATACATTCTGCTCATTAAATTTCGAAGCAGGTTTGTTCGATTTGTCATTGATTTGTCATCATGGAAAAACCCATCTAAAATTATTTATTGCTGGTCCAATTACGAATTATATTATTTTTTATTCCAAACATTATCTAAACAATAAATTGTTAATGACAACTGAATAGTGACAGCTCACTGCTGTAGAATTTAATCCAAATTTCAGCAGTGTCAGTGGCACTACTGACACTGCCGATCGTTGAATTCGGAACATAGCCTTAAAGTCATTGAGAAGAAGACTGACATTTCGAATGAGAAATTCAGAGCATTTCAAAAATTTCAGAGAGCATAGATGATATCAATTGTTTTTAATATTATCTATTGACGGTGCAAAGTAAACACGCGAGTTCAGTGTTGGAAAATCATAAAAGTGTTCACAAAAAGAATTCTTATTCTCGGAAATACAGAGACAAACGTTTATTTCAAAGTCTACATCCAATCTAATTTGAATTACATGTGAAATTATGTTTGACAAGGTGTTTAATGTGTAGTCACCGATCTTGGCAGGGTCTTTAAAATACTGGGGTCGTGTGCCTCCAGGTCGTTCGGATTCAGGCAATGGACTCCGATGGAATATTTTCTGTTTTTTTTTCACGTTATTTTCTAAAACTCAATCACCAAAATAACTGGTGAATTTTTTAGCTCTTGCACTTGCCCCACCACTCTGATATTAGAGGTTGAAAATTGAGCTCCTTTAGAAAGTGGCAGAACCGACTGTGACGTCACCTTGCATATTGTGGTATGATATTCGATAATACACCGGTGCGTTTCACATGAGAAAGTTGCTTCCAGCTGCAATATCTTTATATTTCATAAGATCTAGTGGCTTTTGCTATTTAAGATGTATTCAGTATATACTGGATTTGTTAAAGCAAATTCGCGGTCGGATTATTTCATCTGCTAAAATGACACTTTGTAATTATGCAACAAGTTATCGATGTATAACCCGAATAATTTGAAGTGCTTATAGTATTACTACTGAAAATAACAAAGATGATGTCACTTCCGGAAAAACCGGAAGATTCACAATAACGAAAATATTTTAGTTGGATTCTCCATGTTCCTTTCACGGTCCTTACAGATTTTCAGAATCGTTCTTTCGTTCGTTAGTTCTCCATATGTAGATTGCGTTAACTAATGCAGATATACCCTGTATAATGGTGTGTTCAAGAGCTAGTAGTGGAAAACCATAACGATATTAATTTTCCAAAGTTTTTGTATCACGCCAATAGTATTACCTCCTTATGTATATCTTGTCATGACTGAAAATACATTCCTATTGGTCTGTGTCACATTATTCATTTAGTGGGGGTGATGCCACTATACTAATGAACAGAATACAATAATATAGTTTTTTTTATTCATGATAACTGCAAATTTAAATAATTCTCGAAAACAAAAAAAAATTCTGAACTATAAATATACTAATTGTTTTCTAGGCATCTAATCTCCCTTTATATGGTGCCTTTCTAAGTAATTACGGACAAGCACTGGATACAGTTCATAAGTGTGGTGCGGCAAATTCTCAGTTCGGCGAGATCTCCAAGAACATTACCTGCAAACAGCTCTCTGGTCAACCAATAAGTTTAGAAGATCTGCTTCACAAGCCAGTAGCAAGAGTGCAAAAAAACGCACTGGTGTTGCATGATTTGTTGAAGTATGTTCCAGAAACTCATGTCGATCATCATAGTTTGACTGAGGCACTGAATTTGACACAGAATTTTTTGGATCAGTTCAATATGATCCAAACAAAATCAATGTTTCCCGTGAGTATTATAATAACGTACATAGCAAACACAGTTTCATTAATATGTTGTTGAATAACATACAACATTTTGGATTTTGTAGGTTACTGATCGTGCCCAGCGTAGGTTAGTGAAAAATTCCTTCATTGTGGAATATGTAGGCCAAAGAAAGCTTCGTCATTTGTTCTTGTTCAATGATGTTATAGCATGTGCGAAGTATAAGGTAAGTCTTGAAGTTGTGCGCTAAAGTAGAGTCTACTCCTTGGCAATCATCTGAAATATGCGATAGTCACTTGAATTATTTAAACAATAGTTGACTCAGTAATGGGGTCGTACATACTAGCCGCATTTACGCCACATATCTATTTAATATTGATTTTTCATGTGTTAGTTGTATTTGATATACTAATCGCATTCACGCCACATAAAGTCTTGTTTCGAATTCTATAAATTCATATTATATGCTGACGATCTCAAAGTATTCTCTCAAGTAAGTAGTGTAATCGATTGTTCCTTGATCCAAAATGATTTGAACAGATTTTTTAATTTCTGTCAAATCAATAAACTCCATTTGAATTTGGATAAATGTTGCTTTATCTCGTTCACTCGAAACCACAATATCCTCTCATACGATTATAATTTTGATAATAATATCCTCAAAGAAGTTAATGAAATAAAAGACCTAGGTGTGATAATAGACAAAAAACTCTCATTCTCAACTCACATTGAGTATGTTGTATCAAAATGTAACATAACATTAGGATTCATAATCAGACATTGCAGAAACTTCACCTCTCTTCATGCCATGAAAACCTTATTCTACTCCTTTGTATACATTAAACTGAATTTTGCAAATGTTATCTGGCGACCACAATACGCTATATACAAGACCAGATTGGAAATCATACATAATACATTTTTAAGATATCTTTAATATAGAAATAGTGGGGAATATAATGTTACAACTAGTACAGCCTTCCTGAGAAACAAATTTCATATTGTCACACTAGAGGCTCGTCGAAAGCAAGCCGACATAATATTTTTATTCAAAATTATGAATGACTTAATCGACTCCCCTGAAATTTTGTCAAATATATATCTCAATGTTCCAACTCGTTCTCTGAGGAATACTCGTCTCTTCTCTGAAACGTTTTGCAAACTTAGGAAATAACTTACACTTGTTACACTTTACAATGATAAGTTCGATGATATTGAGTTATTCAATCATTCACTACTTGTACTCAAATCGAAAATAAAAGAGAAATACTCAATTTCATAGCTGCCATCAAATGTTTCTTGAAGTAGTGTCAGGCTACGCGAAAATTGTAATCTGTATATTTTTTTCCGTACGCTCAACTGTATCCGTGGATAACACTTTGGGTTATGCCTGTTGTTATCCTATATGACTTCAATAAATAAATAAATATATAGTTATTTATTTATTTATCTATTTATTCATTATTTATTAGTACATTTATTTATTTACCAACCGAATAACTTCCAAACAGAATAAGAGCTGGTAAGAGGAAGTACATAATTATAGGTTCTTGGAGGTTTTTGTTAAGTTTTCTATTTTTTCAATTAGGAATGAAGAATCTTGTATGTTTGATTTTGGGAGTGTCCGGAAAGGTTATGTCGTAAATGGTAGGACGGATCGATTGAACCAAGATAATGTTAGTACTTCATTTAAAAAATGTCAATCGTACTTCGTTACGGAGATATTGACCCTGAAAATTCGAATAAAAACGATATATTTCATGTATAACTTTCAAACGGTTGCCATGGTACTGATGATATAAGAGTTCGGACACAGAAATGACAACTGTTAGTGTTTTTGAATGTTTAGATTTATTAAGTTAGACACCTTGCATTCTGACAAGAGCACCATAGTCGTTCCGCGCATTTTCATTCGATGAAAACGATATATTTCATGTATAACTTTCAAACGGTTGCCATGGTACTGATGATATAAGAGTTCGGACACAGAAATGACAACTGTTAGTGTTTTTGAATGTTTAGATTTATTAAGTTAGACACCTTGCATTCTGACAAGAGCACCATAGTCGTTCCGCGCATTTTCATTCGATGACAATACATTTTATGAACGTCAGATTTTAAATATAATTCCATAAACTATTGAGAAAAAAGCATAAATGGAACATATCCTGCTGTATAATGAAATGTGGGAAATCTGAAGAGAATGGATTTTATTTCTTTAATTTTACAAAGGTAATATCAACCATTAAAAATTTGTCATTCTACTTAACGATCAATCAGACCTCAATAGTTCACCACTGTTAAATTTGTTTTCTTAGTAGGTAATAATATTTATTCCAAAGAAGGGAAGTGTTGTATTTCGTGCAAAATAATTTATTCATATTTGTACTCGTAGCAGGGCGCTTTCGACTGTTAAGTCATTATCAGTGCATACTCGTCAGGTTAACAAGGAAATTTGTCCATAAAATATCTCTACCAGAGAAATTTTTCCATAAAAATATCTTATGGTATATGAAACACAAAAATGAAAAATTGTTATATTTAGTTTTGAATAAAAAACGCTCAAATGCGCATTGCGTTCAATAGTTGATATAGTGTCAAAATACCGTCAAATTTGGGTCGGCCAATCTCAGGTGGTGGCTTAGAAAACAGCCAACGGCTCGTTGTATAAGGTTCTAATAACGAAGTCATCTAGAAGGAAAGGCCTATAATAATTGTCGTATTTCGAATATCAATAGAGAAATGCGATTAAAAAAATACGTAGAACAAATCTATAATTAAGGAGGATCTTTGTTTTTGCTGCCAAATAATTATATTTTTCATTACAGACAGCAGGACGTAATGAAAAGTACACGTTCCAACTCAAATGGTTCATTCCTGTTGAAGATATATTCATGTTGGAGGAAACAACCGCCAATTTATTTGAAATTGATACAGCAAATATTGTATCATTGAAGTCACAAGCTTCAAATGTCAGGGACCAACTGAAGCAAGAAGAAAAATCGAATGAGGTAAGTTAATCTATACTGTTCGTCCGCAGACACAACTTTTCGTCCGCAAAAACTTTTTGTTCGCTGTGGTCACTATAATACAGCATGGTGCGAGATAGGTGATTGAGTTGACAACAACTGTCATTTGCTGTCAAATTAAATTATTTACGAAATCTGATGAATTTCTCGTGTGAATAAGACCGTGATGTGAATATAAGTTGTTAGTTGAATCAGAGGTTCGTCTGATATGTTCCAAATTACTTTTATTCTTCAAAAATCAATGACAAGTGAAGTCACAATAGTTATCGAGAATATTTCAACTCATTAATGTCATCCCAAAAACATCGTCTCGCATAGGGTGATGAAAATAAGAGATGATACAGGGCTGTAGAACTTTCCTCCAATCGTGAAGAAGGTCAATCTTTCTTCATTCTTCATCATTTTCAACATCAATTCGACATAACTTCGTGATTTAGCGTCCAGATATACAGGGTGTCCCATAAGTCATGGATCAATGGAAGTGGGTAGGGGGGGAGGCGGGGTGGTGATTTCCATTCAAACTAACCGTACATGGTTCAAAAGTCTCTTCTCAAATCCAACGTACTTCGAAATCTCATCGTATCATTTGGATATCTTAGTAAGAAATGATTGGGAGTCAGAGATTCTAGGTCATTTGAATCTACTGAAACTTTTGTCAACGGCTTCGAATTAAAAATACTCTTGCCATTCCGTGAATAGAGTTCCAAAAAGTTTGTCTTTCAGTTATGTCCATCCAGGATAAAATTGGAGGTGTTTTTTACAGACCTCACTGGGCGTTCCCACACTCAGGATAATTAAGTAACTAATTAGAACAAGAGACAAAATGTTGATATTTTTGTTGTTATTAATGAAAAATACCAAGTATACGCTATCGTTGTATTCCAAATTGAATGACACGTAATTTCCAATGACAATATACAGGGGGTGCAATTTGTAAATAAAAAGTGGGGGGCAGCTGTCAGAGAACTGTCAAATCTAATAGATTTTTTATATATGTCATTAGGAAGATATTTTAATGAAATAATATGCAATTTTTGAATTTTTCAATCATCTTGTCAAATAAGCGAGATATTGCCTGTATATGATAACTTGGGACACCCGGTTTATATATATATATATATATCTTATTTTTACTTCATTACTACCAATTTTTTGATCCCTGAAAATCAATATTATTTGTGTGTTGGTTTCTACAGATATCGTTTCAGCTATGAATGGGGATTTATTTGAAAATTGAAGATTTCCAAAATGATCCAGTGATCACCAATTGATCAGACAAAAATTGTTTTTCTAGGCTCAAAAGAGTGGTGATAAAGAAGTGAAAATAGAAGATATCACCCTGTATATATATTTTTTTGTGATCACAAGAATTCACAGATTCCAAAAAAATTTAAAAAACAGGGGCACCCTGTAAAACTTCTGATAAGGACTGCGGAAAGGCTTCATCGCGGCATTGAGCTTTCGCATATTGTTTTTTTTTTGCCGATGAAAAAATAACGTTTATACATGGGGTGGGCCTTTTCGATGGATAACTCTGTACTTATAGTCTTTGAATACTTTTTTGTGAACAAAATAAAGTTGATGATGGTGGCCGGGAGACGAAAAGTTAGTTAGCAAATCTGAAAGCACTATATCACACTATATCACACAATAAATAAAGATGAAATGAGATCAATTTTCCAAAATTTCTTTTTTCTTCTGGATATCTCCAGACATACTGAGAATTTCGAAACTTTGCACATTGTTAGTTAAGTAAATTAGCAACTTTGTCCCAATTTAACCATCTGCCTATCTCTGATAGTTTCCGAGATCCCAATAGTGAGGATCGAATTTGAAACACTTGGTATAGGGTGTTCGACTCGGTAAAATTGTCGCCCACGTCATTACTCAGGAGTGCATATTTAATTTTTTTCGTGTGGATGTGGCAAATTGAGTTCTGAAATCAACTTGTTTCTGAGAATTCCTTAGAAATGGAAAGTTTGAGTGAACATGAATTTGTTCAGTACATTACGAAAGCACTGTATTATGTTAGTCTTGAGGTTCTAGATTCCTCATGTTTGTTGATTTCCAGCTATATATTAACATTAACTGAATACATCAGTTAGATATATGTGAAACAAATCTGAATTGTTGATGCATCTGTTGATACAAATCACTTCCTGGCTTTACGGCCTCATATGTTCTGGAAAAATTTTATCCGTGATTTTTGTTCATTAAGAGCTGCATATAACCAAGGAAGAAATGATGTATTTTCATATCACCTGATAGCATCAGCTTTTCAGATGCGAATCAAATCTAATATATTTTTCTGACAATTGGATGATTATCATATTAGTACATAAAATAATTGATGACTTTATTCCGCTCAAAAATGACGCTAATACTCAATATCAACTTGAATAGGTAATGTATGAATAATGCAATAAAAGGACACTAGGTAATGTATGAATAATGCAATAAAAAGACACCATGGGTATAGTTTTTACAAAGTCAGTTGAGGCACTTCCGTTTTTAAAGATGATACGAAGATTCGTCAATTTACTTTACATTCTAATAGGAATAAATGAAATATTTTTTTTGAGCTCTCCGGGTATGCAGTCAACGTGGACTGGACAAGCTTCGCTATATAAGAAAATACCAATGAGACGCGATTGGTTACCGACAATTTCAGTAAACGTTGATTGGTCAGAGTTTTTTTACTGGGTTTTCGTGTGCTCAAGACTTTTTGAGATAGTGCGGTAAGGTAATGCGTTGGAGCAAGTTTTTTACGAATAACTGGTTCTATTCGAATTCCAGAAAATGTATTATTTCAATCATGGTGTTTCCGTATTGTGATCCGCAATTAAAATATTATGCCGTTTTGGAGAACTTTCGAGAAAGCCAACGAATAAGTTAGTGTAGTGATTCGGAGCAAGAGCGTGCGGAGTTCGCCCATACAGGGCGATTTTGAACATTTATTTGTGTCTCAAGTACGAGAATAATGGGTCTTCGTAAACCCAACCTGACGACAAAACTATTTCAAAAATGGGCAGAGCAGTTGCTTTTATCAAATATCCCAGCAAATTCTTTGATCCTTATTGATAATGCGTCATACCCTTCACGTCAACGAAACGAAAATTCCAGGTTGAGAAAAGAGTTACCTACATACTGGAAATAATCAAGAAACAGAATTTCCAGGGGAAATATGTGGTTGATCAACATTTTTATTAGCAAAACAGTATGTTTTTTCTCCATATTACTTCCTTCTTGACTCCATTGAGATGGTCGGGATGCTATTAAAAGGAACATGCAGAAAAATTATCAATAACTTACCGCGATTGAGTGGATCAGTTTAAAACAGCATCAAGACAGTTATTTGACAAGAAGAAGTGACATATGGAGAGATTGCTGATCTAATATGATGAAAAAAACAAATTTATATCTTACCTACCTTAACATTAGGGTAAACGACGGTTCAAGTTCTGAAGAGTCCGATAGTGATATAGACTAGTGATATACCTATTTTTCAGTGTTTGTCTATAAAAGCTACGATAATTATTAAGGGAAGTATTATTATGTATGTATGTTGTTCTTTATTACCCCAAGAAACATATTTGTTTATAATAGGGATACATAAACATATGATATATATATATATATATATATATATATATATTTACATCCTCTTATCAATATTGCGTCTGACTCTGGAACTAATTTGTTGCGTCCCCTAGAAGGGAGCCACTTAGAACAAAACTGACTGAAGTATATTAAAGACCGCGAAATTCTGTACAGGACCTGCTATTTCATTTCCCTCCAAATCGACTTTTATATATACATTTTCCTTTCATTTTGTATTATTAGCAACTCCTCTCACAGTCCTATCAATTCAAACTCCAGCGTATATTCTAGTTTTTATTTCTCGTTTATTACTGCAACCAATTTGTATATTATGTTTCAATGCCTCAATAATGCTGCGACCGCATTGTTGCCAGATCGACGTCAAGAATAAACATTCATATTTTATGATTCTGGGCATCATGCGTCCATTTCATCAGTGATTCAATTAGACAAGAGTGCTATTTCTGCATAAACTATGAGATACACAGTTCCTGTCTGAAATCAGTCTATACTTTCCAATGCATCGAGAAAATACTTCTTGATTCAGGAATGTAGAATTCGATGACGTGAATTATTCTTCTAGTTGCAAATAATTGATTTATGAAAATGATGGCGGCATGACATCATTTTGGTAAAACATTTCAAATTTGGTATTAGGGGGGTTTTTATGGTCGGAGATTATGATTCTTCTGTCAGAATTGAAATATGCAAGATGGCGGCTCCAACATGGCGGATGAAATATGTAATTATGATCCGATTCTATTCAAAATTGGTATCTGGGGGTTTTTGAGGTTGGAGATTATAATGATACTGTCAAAATTGGAAAATTCAGAATGGCTGCTTCAATATTGGCGGACAAGTTTCGTAATTATGATCCGATTCTATTAAAAATTGGTATCTAGGGGTTTTTGGGGTTGGAGATTATGATTATGCTGTCAAAATTGAAAAAATCGAAATGACGGTTCCAATCCGGCGCACGGTTTTCGTGATTATGATCCGATTTCATTCAAAATTGGTTTCTAGAGGTTTTCGAGGTTGGAGATTATGATTGCCGTGTAAAAATTGTGAAATTCATGAAGGCGGCTCCAATATGGCGGACGGGTTAAGTAATTATGATCCGATTCTATTCAAAATTGCTATCTGGGCGTTTTCAGGATAGGAGATTATGAATATCCTGTCACAATTAGAAGATTCAGAATGGCGGCTCCAATATGGCGGACGAGTTTTGTGATATGATCCTCTTCTATTTAAAATTGGTATCTGGCGGTTTTCTGGTCGGAGATTATGATTATCCTGTCAAAATTGAAGAATTCAAGATGACGGCTTCAATATGGCGGACATGTTCTGTAACTTTGATCCGATTCTATTCAAAATTGGTATCT